TGGGCCGGTGAAGCGACGTCCTTCACAACTAAACTGAAGAACAAAACGACAGCAACTTGTCTGTTCCCCTTCCCCCCCCCCCGATTCCCCAGCACTGTTCCCATACCCCCAATTCCCCAATAAAAATCTTTAAAAAAAAAGTGAAATGACAACCCACAGAATGAGAGGAAATATTTACAAATCATATATCTGATAAGAGACTTATGTGTAGAATATATCAGGAATTTCTATGACTCAATAATAAAAACACAACTAACTCAATTAAAATACACAAACAGCTGACAAGACACATGAAAAGACACTCAACATCATTAGCTCCAGGGGGTAAAGTGCAAGTCAGAACCACCAGGAGATAGGCCATACTCACTGAACAACTATAACGAAAACGATACAAGATGTGGAGAAGTCGGACGCTTCGGGCACTGTGAGAGGGAGTGTGAAAAGCTGCAGCCACTGTGGAAATGGGGTGGAGGCTCCTCAAAGGTTTAACATCGAGTTAGCTTGTGACCCAGCAAGTCCGCTGTTAGGTACAGACCCTGAGGCATGAAAACATGTTCACACAGAAATTGACCGTGAACATTCACAGCAGCCAAAAAGTGGAAACAACCCAAATGCCTATCACTGATGGGCGGTTAAAACACGTGGTCTGCCCACGCAGTGGAGCATTACTCAGCCGGGGGAAAGGACTGAAACCTGACACCGCTGCAGCATGCAGGCACCTTGGAAACATGAGTGACGGCAGCTAACTATGGAAGGCCATATACTGTCTGATTTCAGACACAGGAAATGTCCAGAGTAGGCCAATGCATGGGGACAGAAAGGAGATGAGTGGTTGCCAGGGCCTGGGGGAAGGGGGGTGGCTGCTGATGGGTGTGCCATATCTCTGCGAGTGATGAAAATGTTCTCAAGATGGTTATGGTGGTGGTTACACAACCCTGAATACACACACCACCATTGAACTCTATACTTCATACAGGTGAATTGTGTGGACTGTCAATTGTATCTCAATTAAGATATTACTGAGAACAAAGAGCCAGCCAGCCAGGGCTGGGGGTCGTGCTGAGAGGAATCTGCAGGAGCCGCCATCCTGTGGGGAGGGGGGCGCTCCATTTTGGACATGTGGAGGTTGGCATCAGGAAGAGAAGTGGACCCATCAAGTCAGCCAGGTTCAGGGGGGTGAGGGAGGCTGGCACTGCGTGAGAGTCCTTTTCACATAGAGCTAAGGGCCACACGAGCCACTGCAGAGACAGTGTGGGGAGAGGACGGCTCCCAGGACTGAGCCTGGGGCTGGCACCTTTTCTGGGCAGGGAAGGGGAGGACAGGCCCACTGAGAAGGTGCCCTTGGTGAGCGCAGGCTAAGGTGGGAGTCCAGGGAGGAGGCAGAGGGACAGCAAACCCAGAGAAAGGGGAGGTGGCTCCAGGGAGATGGGACGTCCTGAAAGAGTGGTCTGGTCACCACTCTCAGGTGGAGACGCTGATGGCCCTGACGAGGACAGGAGACATTGACCCCAGCAAGAACCAGAGGAAACACGTGCAGGAGTGTGTGAGCATTCTGCGGCAGCCGCAACAAAGCACCACAGACTGTGCGGCTTCCAACAACAGAAACCTGTTCTCTCACAGAAGTCGGAAACCCAGGTGTGGGCAGGGCCATGCTCCCTCCGGAGGCTCCAGGGCGGGGTCCTTCCTTGCTGGTGCCCGCATCACTCCAATCTCTGCCCTCTTGGTCACATCGCTGTCTGTGTGTCTTTCTCAAAGTCCCCAGGCCACTCTCTGATGCTTTCAGGGCCCACCAGGATAGTACAGGATAAGCTGCTCTTCTCCTGTCAGTAACTTAGCCACACCTTTTGCTGTGTAGGTGACATTCACAGGCTCTGGGGACTAGGACACAGACATGTCTTTGGGAGCCATCACTGGGCCCAGTGCATGGAGCAAAGACTGAAGACAGGAACTGGGAACCTAGCGGGCGGGGGCAGGGCAGGTTATGACATCATGGCATCTGTGAAAGTCCTCCCCAATACTTCCATTTTCTCAGTGTGCCTGGCACACAGCAGGCCCACCATATTTGTTCCATGAACTAATGGTTCTCAAAGAAACAGAGCACAGGGTTCAGACAGCCTGGAAGGAAGAAATTTCAGCAATATCAAAAATTAATTGTGGGGGGCCAGCCTAGTGGCACAATGGCTAAGAACTGGCTTGGGACGCCAGAGGACCCCGGTTCGGATCCCACATATGAGGGCCAGTGGCACTGCCTTCCACAGCTAAGATGCTGAACAACAGCTCAACCTGGAGCTGGGCTGCC